GCCATCTTGGTTGGGTTAATTTGCATATAGTCGCTCTGATTGGCTGGTGGATTAGGGCATAGCGAAGGTACAGTCAATTAGCATCTTTGTCTTTTATTAGTGTAGATAGTACAGACATATCAAGCAAGATGCTGAATGCTAAGGCCCGGCAGTCCTTGTCAGATACAGAATGTAGCTGTTCGAAAGACTAACACAAAACTCCAAAAGGACTTTTTCTCTAATTCCAAGTAGCACCTAAGAATAGATGTTTCGATTGAGAGACCAAGATGGCGGCATAGGTAAACACCGGAGACTGCTGCCGCAAACAACCACTTCAAAAATACAACTAAAAGACGGAACGGACATCACCCAGAACCACAGGAAGGCTGGCTGAGGAGAGACTCTTCAACTAGAAGGAAAAATAACAGCACACCGAGGCTCAGAGGAGGCGCAGTGTGGAAAATACTCAGGTGCGGAGGTGCGCGCGCAAAGCGGGCTGGTGGCTGAGAGCGCGGTTGTCGTTTTCGGTCAGGGGGGAGTCTCAGACTCTGAGCTCCAGATACGGGCGAATCGCTGGGGACTCGGACCCAAACGGGAGAAGCGGGAGTGTCTGGCATCAGTTGGAAGGCAGCTTTCCCTCCGAGGTTTGCAGCGGTTCCGGGGGTTCTGAGAAGCAGAGCCTCTGGGAACAGGACTGAGGGCACCATAACGGCTCCCTCCGCCCGCCCTGTTGAGCCCGCCCCGCCCAAGCCCTGCGCAGAGCCATTTGCCAGATCGCCTCAGGCAAAGGCTAGATTAGCACCTCCCCAGAGGACAGAAGTTTTCCGCGGCAGACACAGCTGATTCACACAGCCAGTCGGCCTGGTGGTCAAATCCCTCTAGTATTAACTACAACAATCAAGGCTCAACTAGAACAAGACTGCGCACAAAGACCACTAGGGGGTGCACCAAGAAAGCATAAAAAATGCGGAGACAAAAAAACATGACAGAAATGGAGGATATAGAGCTAAAAATCGCAATTTTGAGGGCTTGCAAAAATGTGCTAGAAGCTGTCAATAAACTTGAGGAGAGAGTCACGAAAACTAATGAGACCCTCGATGCTATGATAAAGAACCAACTAGAAATTAAGCATACACGGACTGAAATAAAGAATATTATACAGACACCCAATAGCAGACCAGAGGAGCACAAGAATCAAGCCAAAGATTTGAAATGCGAAGAAGCAAAAAACACCCAACCGGAAAAGCAAAATGAAAAAAGAATCCGAAAATACGAAGATAGTGTAAGGAGCCTCTGGGACAGCTTCAAGCGTACAAACATCAGAATAATTGGGGTGCCAGAAGATGAGAGACAGCAAGATATTGAAAACCTATTTGAAGAAATAATGGCAGAAAACTTCCCCCACCTGGTGAAAGAAATGGACTTACAGGTCCAAGAAGCGCAGAGAACCCCAAACAAAAGGAATCCAAAGAGGACCACACCAAGACACATCATAATTAAAATGCCAAGAGCAAAAGACAAAGAGAGAATCTTAAAAGCAGCAAGAGAAAGAGACTCAATTACCTACAAGGGAATACCCATACGACTGTCAGCTGATTTCTCAACAGAAACTTGGCAGGCCAGAAGGGAATGGCAAGAAATATTCAAAGTGATGAATACCAAGAACCTACAACCAAGATTACTTTATCCAGCAAAGCTATCATTCAGAATTGAAGGTCAGATAAAGAGCTTCACAGATAAGGAAAAGCTAAAGGAGTTCATCACCACTAAACCAGTATTATACGAAATGCTGAAAGGTATCCTTTAAGAAGAGGAAGAAGAAAAAGGTAAAGATACAAATTGTGAACAACAAACATGCATCTATCAACAAGTGAATCTAAGAATCAAGTGAATAAATAATCTGATGTACAGAATGAACTGGTGATTATAATGAATCAGGGACATAGAAAGGGAATGGACTGACTATTCTTGGGGGGGAAAGGGGAATGGGAGATGCGGGAAGAAACTGGACAAAAATCGTGCACCTATGGATGAGGACAGTGGGTGGGGAGTGAGGGCGGAGGGTGGGGTGGGAACTGGGAGGAGGGGAGTTATGAGGGGGAAAAAAAGAGGAACAAATAAGAATAGATGTTTCCCAAGCCCTTTCTTCTCAGAGTGACACCTCTCAGCTGTTACTTTCCTTAGAGATGGCAGCATAAGACTCCTTCTTGATTCTTCACCCTTTTGTTTTAAATCTATTCTCATCATTTGTCCACCTACTTGAAAATCTTTCAAGACCTAGTTCTACAATCCACCTTTTCTAAGATTTCCATGATTAATTTCTCCCTGATGTTAAATTTCTTCAGCTCATATGTATATTCAATTGGTACCAAAACTGATGTTGTTCCATTATTATTCTAGTCTTGTTAATGTTTCCACAGTATAAATCCCTTAAAGATGGGGATTTCCAGAAAGATGAAAAGGAATTTTGAGATTATATCCTTTGCCCTGCCCATTTTCCTGAGGTAGAAACTGAGGCCCAGAGAGGTTAATCTGTCCTAGTCAGTTAGCAAAGTTTGCAGAAAAAGCTGAGCATCCTGACTTTCTATAGTTTGCTTTCCACTATATTATGTCATCTATATCACTTGCATCTCTTCAGAATGTCTAGTAAAGTGTTAATATACATATACATATATATATATATATTTTAGAGGCCCAATGCACGAAATTTGTGCAAGAGTAGGCTTTCCTTCACCCGGCTACTGGCACTGGCTTCCCTCTGGCACCTGGGACCCGGGCTTCCCTCCAGCCACTGGCAGGCACCCGGGACCTGGGCTTCCCTTGCAGCCCCAGCTTCGTCTGGTCTAATTAACATATTATGCTTTTATTATTAGAGATGTTAATATTAGGTAATGTTTGGCAATACAATAAGCATATGAGCTTACATAACAGAGGAACTGACTCAAGGAAAGAGGCAGAAAGCAGAAAGGTCATTTTCTTACTTCTTTGCATGATGCCACCCTCCAGACCAGTTAATTGCTACTCTGCACATTCCATCAATCAGGCATTGGGCAGCTGTGATTGTAGCCCCTCCTACAGATGCTGCGTAGTCAAATATCCCTTCTGTAGCTGGACAGTCATAACCTTTGGGAAAACATCAAAAGAGCTTGTTAAAAGATGAATTGGAGAAAGAGGAGGTGTGATATTGTGATTTATAATAAGAAATATATTTGACCTTTGTCCCCATTTCTGGTACAGAGCTCCTAAAACTCTTGGAATTTCCCCAGTGATGAGAGCAATCCATAAAGGTGTCTGTGTTATGTTAATGAGGCAACCAGTAGACCACACCTTAGGATGAGTCTGGTTGCCAGTGGAGCCAACCATGTGATTAGAGGGTTGGAAGTTTCAGTCTCACTCCTTGACCTCTAGTGAGGGGAGAGGAGCTAGAGATTTAGTTCAATCACCAACTGATCAATGCCTTAACCCAGGGGTCCACATGCGGTCCCCCGAAAACATTTATCCGGCCCGCCGGGTGTTTTTGCTGCCGCTGCCTGTTGCTTAGCAGCGGACTCGTCCTGGGCCCGCAGTGCGCATGTGTGGAATGTGCGCCGCACTCTCTGACTCCCCTCCTTCTCTCTGTCTCTC